GAAGAGCTCCAGCTGGTTGCAGGCAGTACCTCCAGGGAGTGAGAGGTTGGAATTTCTTCTCATACAATAATAATTATACAATAAAACCTAATTACAACATCAATCCCTTTATTACAATGAGTTTAGATTGTTTCCAGGTGTAGTCCAGACGATGAACTACGCTATTAACGGTCGTCATCTTGCAAATCAAGATTACACTGTCTGCATCAGGCAGGAAGAGAGTAAGCAATGAAAACACATTTCCCTAATATTATTAGGAATAAATTCAAAAACGTAATCTTAAATAACAATTATTATTTCAGAAATGTGTTCCATCGTTTACGAACCCTGTGATGAAAATTCTTTTAAGATTGGACCACCAATTGGAGGAGGAGGTGATATTTTAAATATTTTATTCATGCTATGACACATCAGTTAATAAAACCCTCAATCACTTGATAAAACTATAGACCAGGGGTTCTTAAATTTAGTCTGATATGTCCCGTTTGAACATTCTTTTTTTTTTTTTTTTTTTTTTTTGTATCCCATCACAATAGGATCTAAAAAAATTTTGAAGAATTTATTTATTTAAAAAAGTTTATAGATAATTATATAATTTTGAATAAAAATGAAAAGTTGATAAAGGATGGAAAGCTAGGCTTTTTGTAGATCCTAGTTTAAGACCTCTGCTGCCACTTAATCTTTGAGAACTTTGAGAATAGTTTTTAAGTTATATAATATTAATTTAGTCCTGAAGAAAATAACTACACACGGAAACTTTCAACTTATTCATTATAAAATTAAAAATATTGAATAAGGAAAAAGTGAAAAATAAAGAACAAGGGAAAATGTTTTATTGAATAATAATAATTATTCACAAAAAAAAAAAGAGAATTCAGAGAAGTCTCTTTTATAATCTATAACATAGATTATAGTCTTCTATGTTTTTATTATATTCTTTTCACAACAGAATGTGGTAATTTGTATATATATTTTTTTTCATAAATACAAAATAAATAAAGAATAACTCAAAAAATAAACTTATAACAATCAATATTAGATGTAAAGAATATGTATTATGGTTACTAGATAAAAATAAGTGTAACTATAAATTAAAAAAAAACCAATAATTTTATAGTAAAACTTTAGTTTGTTACATAAATTTTCTATGATATTCTTTAGCAAAAATGCTTTTGTTAACTTTATATAATAGCAGCTTGATACAAAATAGTTTATAAAGAAAGATCTTTTGTATTCTTGTCTTAAAATAAAGAACTAGTTTCAACATGACCCAGTAGCTGAGCAGAAAGTATAACCTAAAGTTAGAACAACTGAAGAAAGTAAGGCAATAGAATACAACAATAGAATATTAACTAGAACTTACCATATTGGTCATCTCTATTATATGTCTAAGATTTAATTTGGGTATGTATTAAATACAGTTAAAAAATATTATGTATGTATTGGTTTGTTTATTGCTGCATATGTCTGTACAGAAAATATTAATCATAATTTAAATTAAAATTGTTTTTAAAGTTTCACAAAATAATAAAAATAATTGAATTCTCTAGTATTATATTTGTTTTTTAAATATTTAATGCTTAGTTAGATTACTAGCAATAACAATTGTTAAAATATACAGGAACAATTAAAATACCTTGATGGGCGCCCACCACTATTTGAGAAACTTTAGTCTTTTACTAAATCAACCGACCTAAAGACACATTCAATGAAATACAATTCAGATATGAAGTAATAAAAAAAAAACCTAAAGAAATTAATTTTAAAATACAATTTTTTTTTAGAGGGGAAGGAAAGGGGCTAACAATAAAAAATGTCTGGCAATGGTTATAACTAGATCAACATGACTGATTACAACAACCATTTCATTTATATGTATTGCTTAATAATATGGGATTTTTTTATAATACTTATAATATTTTATAATACTATAAACTAGATCATACTTTGTTTGCTTCTTTGCCAGGAATAATTATATCTTTACTTTTATGTTCATATATTCATACGATTCTTATTGTCAATAATAATTTATTCTGATCGTCAACAAGTCTGATTCATATTGTTAAAATAAAAAAATTCTTTATGATAAATTTTCTTATTTTTCTAGATGACATGGGTTCTGGTGATGGAGCAATGGATATGGCAAATGGAAACAATCGTCAATGCAATGACAGAGTAGTTATGGCATGTGACACAGAGGACTTTATTTCTGTAAGTTAAATGCCAAAACAATCTTGACTTTTGTGCAGTTAGCAGTGAAATAAATATATATATATTTATGTGAATGATATAAATGTGATAGAAAACATCATGACTCTAAATTTAGATTAAATCCGTTCATATTTTATTATGTTTATCTGAAAAGATCGACACTTCATATAGTACTATCGTATACTAAATTTAAATATAAATATTGATATTGAACAAACTGACCAACAGGCATCAGGGAGTGGTGGTTTGTGCGACCTCCTTCACTGTGGGAATACATTCTGCTCTGATCAACAAGGACAATGTCGCATAGAGAGTAAGTCGAATAATCTAATCTCATACTGTTCACGAAGTTCAATATAAATAGTTCTTTTAAAATTATATGTTTTATTTTTAAAAAAGAAATATTCAAATTTTTATTAAAACAAACGACAGTTAATTGAGTGGTCAAGAATATGATGGCATATTGTTTTCTTTTGTCTTGCGTATAGGTTTTGTTTCAAATCTGTCCTAATGCCACCGATCAATAAAAACTGTTTAGCATTAAAAAATCAAATTTTAAAACTTATATTATTTTTGCAAAATCATTCTTTTTTCATACAATTCAAATTTAAATTCAGCAAGAGATAGGTTTTAAAGTAGTTATGTTGGAATGGGTCCACCAAATCTAATATTTAATACACATTTTTTATTTACATGAACTACATGCTTCAGCTAAATTTTAAGCTTCTCACTTTTTTAGTTTTCAATTTAATATGCTGCAAGAAAAACGTAGACCTGTTATTTTAAAAAATGAAATATATTTTTTTTGCCCCAAGGAACAATTTTGATTAAATAGTTCCAGAGTTCAAGCAAATAAATCCTATCTATTCTTGTTTATAATGATGTAGAGATGGTTGACCATGATATAATACGAGAAGGAGTTAGTCGGGGGAGCGGCCAAAAAAATACTAAATTTTAAAAAATATTTTTTTTTTAAATTTATATTTATATGAACGCACCCCCCGACCTACTCCTTCGCATATTCTTATTTATGCATGTATCAGTAGCTGTTTTTGAGGGAAAACTAACTTTACAATTTTTAGTATAATTAAGAAGTCCTTGTCATTATAGGCATTGTAAATTTATTGTTGAGAGCCATTAAATTATATGTGTACTTTTGAAAATAATCTAACTTTTAATAAAAATTATTAATTATTAAATATTCACTAAAAAAAGATATGCATATAAATTATTTTCAAAATTTTACTAAAATATATCCTCCTAACTTCTAGGTAGCGTGAAACCATTTAACATCAGGATCCAGTTTGGAGAAGGCCTGGAAGAAAGCCCCGATGACAACCTCGGAATGTGCTTGAAATACGAACAGCAACCTTGTACTTAATAAAAATGTACCTAAACTTCTGATGAAAATAATAAAGCTTCGAGAGAACATTTTCAAACCAATGTTGAAAGTGATTCTGCGTCGCTGATAACTTATGTATCTCTATGTCGTTTTGTCAAATGTTTGCTAGTCCATTATTTAAAATCATTATAAAAATAAAAGAATAATTTGTGATTATTTTTAAGTTTAACATTCAGTCAAACGACAGTAGAATTTAGTTTATCAATGTTATGAAAAATCAAAGAAAAACTAGTATAGTAAGGAATCTGATTATAAATATTATTTTGATTAAGGAATAAAATGAAATATTCCATTATACTTAAATTATTAATAAAAGTTTGCTTTCCTTCTTATGGGAAAATAACCTATTTTTTGTAAAAAAAAATATTTATATTAGAGGAAATTATATTATTTAATTTATTTAAAAGACTTATTTCGATGAATATTGTTTCATACATTGTGTATGGTCAATTTTTACTTTAATTATAAGTATTATAATTTACAAAATGTAATTTATATGTTTTCATTGTATGGATTAATAAAAGGAATTTTAGTTAACTTAAAATAACAACAGTGAAAATGGAAATAAACTATTTCTATTAATTCAAACAATAAAGCATATAATGTTTTCATAATGTACCTTTAAATATAACAAAATTATTGACCTTACTTTAAATAGAAATAATTCAAATTTATTATTATTTAAATAGAAAATAATAATTAAATTTATCATTTCTTTTTTTTTTTTCCTTTCTTTTATACCGCCACTGTAAAAGTAACTTGGCATACCTCAATTCAGTCAAATTTCCAGAAAATTAAACACTTTGGTACGATGTATCACAACTTCCACTTACCACCCTAAGTGTAGTAGAAATTAATATTTTTTTAAATTTATTAAACCTTAACAAAATACTTTACATTATTATTAATTATTATTACAGCTAGAGCTGTTTAAAAAAAAATATATATATAAAAAAATTGATCATATAAAGCAAAATTTTCACTAAGTTGATTTTGATAAAAAATTAGCTGTAATATCAACTAACTTAAATTTCTAATTTTAGCGTTATAACTCTTTTTGTTTTTTACCTATGCCGCTCACATACACACACCAAGACCTTTTTGCGAGACTTGGTGTTTTGGAGTTAAAGGACATTAAATCATGTATTTGTATTAAAACTCACATTGAAAATTTTTCATGATACTTTTCCAACTTTTTACACTCCAAATACTTTCTCTTAATAATTACTCCATACAGCGGTAAATGAAAGTAAAATGTTAAATCAATCTTGATGTAACAAACAAAATACAATTCTGAAAGTAAATTTTTTTCAAAATATTAAGGATAAATATTTTAGCATTTTTTTTTTTAATATAAGAATTAACTGGAAGAAATAATACAAACACAAAATCTCATGATGTATTTATTACAAATATATTTAAAATTTTAACTGTACAACATATTTAGACAATCAGACTAGTCAGGAGATTGAATCTGTATACAATACTTCATAAGTATAATACATTTATACAAGTTCATTTCATTAACATTAAAAGCTATTAACAATACTAAAAAATTACACACAGTAAAATACCTTATAAACAATTGAAATATACAACTTCAAGTCGATTTAGCTGGGGAATATACCAGTCCCAAAAGCTGCGCGTCTGCTTCAAGTATTGTTAAATCTTTCTCAGAACCAAGAAATTTAGTGGACAATTCCAAATCTTTAACTCGTAACCTGACCTTAGAGCCTAATACATAATCACTGAAAATACAAAAGATTTAAAAGAAACTTTATTTAATATGCAACTTTTTAATTATTTTTTTGAGAAACAATCATACTAGATGTAATGCTAATATATAAATATAATGCACCCCCAATAAAGATAAAGCAATTGCTTTATATTTTATTTGAGTTAAAAATATTTTAAATTCAATACCCCAGATGTTCAAAAAATTAAAAATTTGCTATGATATTGTTTATTTAGAGACTTGACATGATCTTTGACACTAACAAAGAAAAATTTAAAAAATGAAACCCACCTTCCATTTTTTAAAGGCCTCTTGCAGACACAGTGAAACTTCCAACCAAAGTCGACATAAAGATCATCATCTACCACATGAAATACTGTCCCCGTAACAATTCTACCTTCGGGATCTCCAAGCTGCAATATTTAGAGTCAGAAATCATTAAGATAAATATATCATACAAGTTCACTGCGGTATTTGCCAGATTATGTGAAATATAAATTACATATAAAAGACAAATGTTAATTAAATTAAAAATGTACCATTGAGTAACTTCTCTGCGATCGTATACAATCCCAGTAACACTAGGGTAATGACACGTCTGAATCACAGATGGAATTAGATCATTTTATCAAATTTCACATGGGATAATGAATCAACAAAAACAAATCAGACTAAATCAACTGATACAAAATTATATTTATCATGATACAAGCCCATTATGGACCATGGGTATAGCATTTCAGGGTTTCTTTTATACCCATATTCTTTTCATTTTTTTCTCCCATCTCCCTCTTAATCTCCTCTGTCCATTTCTTACCTTCTTGCTTTTTCGTCTCTGCTACAAGAATTTTTGTTTTTCACAATTGTGTATGTGTGCATATATATATATTTAATTTTTTTTAAGTTGGCTTTCAGCCTCTTCCAACTCTTCCTATCTTGAGCTAATGGTATAAGTGTAGATCTTTACAATCACCGTTGATTATATTTATCTAATAATTAATTTAAATATATAATTTTTTTTTCTGCTAGCTTTCCAGACATTGTAGATCTATGGAACCTCCTCTACCTACCTTAGGCTATCACTTCCATATTTTCTGCATGCATCTCTATTGCATCTGTGTTGATTCAATCTATCCATTTGTTTTTTTGGCCTCCCACAAGATCTTTCACCAAATATTAAAGCATTTATTGTTTCAAGAGACTTCCTGACATATTGCTTCGAGCTAAATGTCCCATCTATTTTAAGCTCCTTGTCTTCATACCATCAGATATTGATTGAATAGTTTCTGTAAGCTGTTCTTTGCTTGTCCTCCTAATTACTCACATTTATGATAGCTCTGGTTATTGCGTGGAGGACCTTCATCTCAAATCTTTCTTCTAGAGATGGTTAGTGCCCACATCTAACAATGGTATGTCAGTACCGGCATCGTAGAATTAAACACTCTTAATTTGAGATTTCTAGATTGTTCCAGGATTTCAAAGCTCTGTTTTAGATTGTTAACCAATAATGTCTTTCAAATATTGATCATATTTTATTGTAGTTAATAATGGAGCCTAGATTTTTTAATCTGCATACTCTCGGGCAAGATTTTCTATCCTATGATTGGGGTGAGTTTTTCGACTTAATTTTGCATAATTTATTTTGTTTCATTCATCAGTAAGCCAATTTGATCAGCTTCTCACACCAGGGCAATATCAAGTCTTAATGTCATCTTGATTGCTTTCAAAGACAGCTCATATCATCTGTACCTATAGATTTTGTGATTCGTTCCTTTACATTAATTTAATCCCGTTCATCAGAGTTAAGTTGAACAGCATTAGGTAAAGATCAGTAGTCAAGCATTTCAAGGCAGAATTTTACTCAAAAGATTCTAAGGAAGGTTTAATTAGATAATCAAATATTAATGTTTTATTTTTAAAATAAAAGTGTAGTAGGTGAAAGAACTAAAATACTCTCAAAACATATTAATTGTTAGGAGCCACTCATAAATTAAATGCTTAGATTTCACTCATTGTTTCCAATTAATCTAGCAAATACTTAAAGGAAGACTAATTGCAAATTCAGAATAAATATAAAATTAAGTCTGAGTTAAGTAGAAAACAGTAAATAAGATGAACATATCTTCTTAACTCACATCAATAAACTTTGAATTCCTTAAAAGAGTAGCAAATGGTGCATCAACTTCGGGATCGTTAACATGAGCGTGTTTGATGAAAGCTTTGGCAAAACCACCTAAATTTTTTTGTTCATTTTCATCCGTAGTTGCCTTTGTGGAATCGAGTCTCCTAAAAATCTTCTGAGAGTAAGGAAAAGAAACTATGTTCTTCGTTCTCGAGACAAGTCTAGTTAACTGCAGAGACATCTTAATTTGTAAACAAAATAAAATAAATTAATGATCAAAATGACAACATTCAAACTTAGCCGATAATGATAACCTATCAAGAAAACAAACGTGTTTCTATAACCTCTCTAACAAAGAGGTATTATCTTCAAGAACATAACTACAAAAGTTCAAAGAGAAATATTTGTTTAACATATTGAAACTATAATATAATATGAGGCCCTTACAAGCAAAGGGTTTTAAGTGACAAAAATCTGTGTTGACTATAGTAAATGATAAACCCCTCCTGTTTTTGGTAACAGGAAATCTATTTCTGTCTTTATTTAATCCACACCATAAGCTATTTTTTTTATGGCAGAGTAATGGATAGTCCTATTTTTAAGACTCGTAGTATTAAGTAAATATCTTTATATTTATGCTAGTACATGCCCATCAACTACAAGCAAAAGGCCCAATATAACACTCCAGTAGTTGGCACCTATTGAAATTTCAATTTTTATATTAAACATAATCAAAAGACACTATATGAAAAATAAAACTAAATTTTATTTGATTTAAAATTGGGATAAAGGAAGTTAGTTAAACAGAAAAAGTCAAACATACGTATGACGCCATTCCACCTATTATTTCCGTTTCAGTTGAATGAAGCAAAGCAGATAAATATACAAAGAGAAAATATAGAAGTCTCACATTAATAAAATAGTGGTCTAGGAGGTCCAGAAATCTTATTATTCCTATTTTTTTAGGAGGATGTCAGGTATTAGAGCACTATCAGCCACTGGTGCTTGTATCCCATAATCTTTTATAACTAGTATATTCACAATGGTAAAAAATAATCACAAAATCGTCGGATTTCTTCATTATTCAAATTCATTATTAGGTTGTCAGTGGAGCTTTCTATAAATATACCAGCAATTTATTGTAAGTCGTTCGTATTTCTTCGTTATAAGATTCCATGATTACATATATTATCAGATGAATATGTAACGAAAACAATGAAGAGTTTAAATACAAGTTCACCTGCAATCTTTATATTGGCAGTATTTTTAAAACATACGATTCTGTTAATACAGTGGTAAACCTAAGTATCAAAGAACTGATATATTATTAAAATGAATCGAAACGTTACCGCTATCTCAAAATCGAATGAGAATTTATATAATTGTATATATACATATATACTTGCTTACTACATACCTCTACAGCCCGAGGTGAGCCTTGGCTTCTCTGACCACATTGAACCAGTCCTCTCTACCCAATGCTCTCCTCCTCCAATTCCTTATACCAAGATTTTGCAGGTCCCTTTCCACATCCTGAATCTAACGTCTCCGAGGTCGTCCTCTTCTTCTGGTGCCGTACATCTTTCCAAGCAGAATTCTTTTTTGCATTCTCACTTCATTCATCCGTGTTACGTGACCCAACCATTCAATTCTCCTTGCTCGTATGAAGCGGACAATGCCACAAAATCCATAAAGCTCATATAGTTCGCTGTTCTTCCGAATTCTCCATTCACCCTCTTTCAATACAGGTCCATCAATTTTACGGAGAATTTTCCTCGTGAAAACCTCTAACGTATTTATTGTAGGGGCGCAAAGGGTCCAAGTTTCCGCAGAGTATGTCGTCATTACTGAACTTACAAATGTTTTATACAAGCGTATTTTTGTCGTTCGTGACAATAGCGATGAGCGGAAGAGTTTTATGTTTGCGTAATAAGCCCGGTTACCTGCCATAATCCGTCTATTCACTTCTGCTGATATTTCATTTGTGCCAATATTTCATATATATAAATTTTTATATACATAATTTTTTTACCATGAAACATAAAAACAGGATAAATACGGAAACCAAGAGGAAGGATCTAAGATAATCTTACAGACCTTTTAATCGAGCAATCGATGTCATCAACTAATAAAGATATTCTTTAAAAATAATTTATTTTAAACCGAATTCTTGAGATATAGGTAATAGTGAATATAAAGGTGCGTTTAGATATTTCACAAACTATGGAAAAACAATTATCAAATTTAACTAATCCCGACAGTAGGGCAAAGACCAACTATTTTTTAAATTTATTTTGTTACCGACAGCAGATGGAAAACATCAAGAATCAGAAAAAAAACAACACTATAATAGGAGAAAAAAATTTAAATGTTTAAATGCACCTTAAGGAACCAAAAATTATTTCAAGTAAATTTCTTCGAATATTAAATCGTAGCCCAATAAATATTTTTAAATATAATGTAAAACACTACTATATTTACATAAAGAAAACTAAGACCACATTTTATTAATCCTAGTTTCCGATGCAGCTAGAGGTCATTTTAGCGTTAAATTAATTTTTAAGGCATTGGATTGACGAATCGTGTCACGAAATCAAACGGGAAGTTAGATAAAGCCCTCCTACACAAGGGGTCATATCGTTCTTAATTATTTTTTCTTTAAGAATATTTTCTCAGTTTTAAATTAGGAATAGTCCAAATAATGCTGCATTACATTTATTATAGTTATTTATTATAATCATAATTAAGAGAAACAGAAGAGAGAAAGAGAAAATTAGGATACTACTGTAAGATTCCAATCAAAGCCTTGGAAGACAGATAAGATCACATAAATGCTAACTAAGGTTGCTACCTAAGGTTATTGTTCATGTGATAACCGTTATTAAAAATAGTTTTTCCCCAAATTAAATCCTGAATCTGCCACTGATTTGATATGGTGCTCCATATCAAATCAGTGCCAGATTCAGGATTTAATTTGGGGAAAAACTATTTTTAATAACGGTTATCACATGAACAATAATGATTTTAGGGATCAAACTATTATATTTTTTCTTGACATTTAGTAGTTGAAGTACTAGCGTGCAATTAAAGCTGGAACTCAAGCCAATGAAATCTAGCAAATATGCGCGTACGCAGATGATGTGGTTATCAGTCAGCCAGAAGTGAGGCAGCACTAAAAGAAGCATTTGAAATTATTTTAAAAAGAGGTAAAAGGCTCACCCTAAATCAAGATACAAACCGAACATTTGGTAATAATAAAAAATCGCAAATAATCAAAGTGAATAGAAGCATCTTCCTGTTCAATTATACCTTTTAAAGTGTGTATAACTTCACTTACTTAGACTTCTCGATCAGTATGAATTGTCAGCTGGTGCCTTACATCGACATATTGTCAAAAACTAAAAGATGAATTGTGAGAGAGATATACGGCGTTTTAAAGATTGATGTAATGCAAGATCACGAGTAATTCTGGAATCGCAACCATACTGAAAATCATGATATATTTGATAATATAAAAGCAGGTTTGCTGTGATATGCAGGTCATGTTGCTAGAACGAACGAGGAGAGGTTGCAGAAGAAGTTGCTGGACATGCCAATCGTTGAAGAAAAGAGGCAGAGCGAGGATTCGCTGGAAGGATGAGGTAGTAACAGATGCTGCAGAGTTGGGTCTTATGAATTGGAGGAACACTACCAAGGATCAAAAGAGATAGAAGAATATAATCCAAAAGCCCAAGGGTCATAAACTCTGTAGAACCAGGGAGTAAGTAATAGTACTTATTTACTTAAGTACTTACACTATAACTCAAACAGATAACATATTGCATTTTTTAAAGTGTTTGGCTCATATCACTAATAGAAAGAAAAATTAATTTTTTTTGGAGGGGGGGAGGGTTTTCTCCTCGAAATCTGCCCCCTTGAATCTGCAAGTGTGTCATAACAAGAGTCAAAAAATATCAGTCAAATATAGATAGTCAACCACTCCAACATATACTGTTGTAACTATTAATAAACTGAAGTTGATGAGCGATCACCACTATATAATCTTATCTTTTTCTGCCCTGATTGTGGATTATGATTTTAGACTTTCTAAAAAAATATAATAAATAAAACAATAATAAAAAAATTTTAAAAAAATTTTGATTCAAAATTGAAATGTATTGTTTCATGTTTATCTATTTCTATCGATATATTTATTATTTCTGATAAATACAACTCCAATTTGATATGAATATTAGAGGATTTCACTGTATAAACATTAGATATATATTTTTTTATATATCTAAATTCAATGATAAGCTAGTTAATAAATTGTATTTAGTTAAAGTGTAATAGAATGTGAATGTGCTCTCTTAATACTATTATAAATGTCCTAAATTGTGACAGATTGTAATATCTCTTAATATTTAAGTTTAAAACCATCAGAGACGTCTGAAAAGGAGATGGCCTCGAGATCTCTTTTTGTAAATACATTTTTACAAAGTTACCAGTGGGTAGTTTCTGAACGAGTGGTTTCATGTTATTATATTCTAGTGTTCACACTTACTGAATGTATTTTTATTTATAATACAGCTGTAGATATCAATATATTTATTGTTTCTGATTCCCAGCTGAAACTGCAATAGTAAATAAATAAAAAAACAATAAGTTTTAAAAAAAGTTAAAGTGTATTGATACGATTAATTAAATAAATCCACAAAGAGAAAATTACCACTACAACAATAAAAAAAAAGTTTAGGTATGACTTCAGAAAAATATTTATTTATTTTTTACAAAGAAATAAAGATCCAATTCAAAAATGTTAATGTGGGGCTTCCTTCGCCTTCTTTCCCCAATTTCTCCGTTTTTTAAGTAGATTAACCATTTACTGATATTTTAGAGAAACGTAGTTTGGGATTTTAAATTAAGTTAAATTTTCTAATTCTTAAACTTTTGATATCTTTATGGGACTAATTTATCTGGAACCAGAAAAAAAACAGTCATCAGCGACAACTTACCAAGAACGTCAGTGAGAAAATACTATAGTTCATGAGATAATACCGACAAGGGATCAAGGTAAAAGGCGTAAGATTGCAAGATGACGCAACTGTTTGCGTCATTCAAATAGCATCTGTCATTGCCAACGCCTCTTAACATCGAGTACACAAGTCAGAAGAGTTCTTCTTTTATAAATTGTTAACTATAAATACATTAAATATCACTGAGTAAGGAAATAGTCCGAGTACTAGACAACAACAAATACTGGGTACTAATCAAATACAGTATCTGACTAGGTTCTCCCTAGAGGAGACTAAAATATGATTTCAAGGAATAGGACAATGATAAAAAAATAATATAATATGACAAGTCTTATGGAGAATAAGATGATTTGGGATACTG